CAGTAAGGGGGCTAGGTGATATTAGACCAAAAAAGAACTGGGCAGTGCTCGCTTCGGCAGCACATATACTAAAATTGGAACGATACAGAGAAGATTAGCATGGCCCCTGCGCAAGGATGACACGCAAATTCGTGAAGCGTTCCATATTTTTAAGTAAAGGGACACGAAAATCAACTACATTGTATATTGATAAATTAAAATAAAATAAATAAAAAATAAATTAAAAAAAAAAAAAAAGAACTGGGCAGCACTGAAGCCCATGGAGCGGCATTTCTAAGGGTACGCCATGTTTTAAATGGGCTCCTTGGGCCAGCCCGTGGCTCACTCAGGAGAGTGTGGTGCTGGTAACACCAAGGCTGCGGGTTCGGATCCCTACATAGGGATGGCCGGTTAGCTCACTGGGTGAGTGTGGTGCTGACAACACCAAGTCAAGGGTTAAGATCCCCTTACCAGTCATCTTAAAAAAAAAATAAAAATAAATGGGCACCTTGCTTAAAATGTGAATTTATGGATGACTCCTGAATGGACCAGGGTTTTGGCAGGCATCAGATGGCACACTCGAACTGGGCAAGGAATGAGAGTTTTACCAAACTGGGTAAAAGTTGAATAAAGGGACCTTGACAGAAAGTGTGGGAAGAGTTTGGGGAAAATAATGATAAATAGTATCATACCTTGAGGCCAGGAACAGTTGGGAGCTGTCACCATCTCCAGGCTTAATGGGGCAGGATGAGGAAGCTATTGCAGGGGCCAGAGACGGCGGTATGTTGAGGGCTGCTTGGCAGGGGCCGACCATAGCAACAAGCAGGGACAGAGCTGCGGGAATAATTGCCCTTCCATGAAGCTTCTCCTGCTCAGGGTTCTTCAAGCTTTTTCTACCAAGGTTTCCATTGGCTGAACTCAGTCCAGTCTCCCACTTGGGTCCCCTTGGTTGAGCTCAACTTGACCTTCCGCCAGGATTCCCATTGACTGAGCACATCCTAACTTCTACCAGGATTCACATTGGCTGAGTTCAACTTGACTTACTACCAGGATTCCTGCTGGCTGAGCTCAGAAGCCAGAGGACAAGGGAGTCCACTGAGCCAGTCCATACAGGTCAGCAACCCAGGGTACAGAGCACAGCAGAAAAAGGCAGAGAGTGGATCTGGAGGAATAAACAAGATATCCAAATGGCCACCCCAGTTTAGGATTAACGTAAGGCTGAGGATCCCAGTCCTACTAAATCTGTGTGACTGAGATAGGTCCTGGGAATCTGGAGTCCCAGATGACTCTGATCAAGACTCAAGTTTAAAACTCACTGACTCAGAAGCAAACTGGACATAAGAAGTGCCCTCTTAGGATTAGAATTGTTTGTGAGGGTGATTCTTTCCCTTACAGGTATATATCCTACTTCCTCTCACTCTCCATACATACTTCCAGTATCCAAGACCCCAATTCCTGCTGACCCCTAGCTAAAGAGGTCAAAAGCACTGGAGCCTCCTCCTGACCATTCCATCTGGTGTCCAGCACTACACTAAGGGATTTGCTATGCTGGACTGCATATCTTGTCCTGACACTTTGAATTCCTCTGCTGCCCACTGCCCAACTTCACACTTTCCTGAAGGTCCAACCCAGTTGCCCCAAAATGCATAAACCAAGCAACTTCTGCAAAGCTTAGGGCTCTCAATGCCATAGTAGCCCAGGGACCAGTGTCAGGGTTGTACAAAAAATGCTCTGTTTATGGGAAGATTCTGCTAGTTCAGCTTAGGACATGTACATGTAAGTGTGTTATTTACTTTGTAATTTATGAGAATGGCGCCCTCTAGGGTCATTCAGTGTCATGCCCGCCCATCTGTGAGTGGTGGCCTTGAACTGCTTTTTTTTTTTTTTTTTTTTTTTTTTTTTTTTTTTTTTCCGTGCCCCCGAACGGGATCGCCACCCCCGGGTTTGCCCCCCCGCCCCGC